CCACTTGAACTAAAACATGCATATTTGTGGGTCAATAAGAACTCATTTAAACAAAACTAGATATTTAATATTTTTTACTGATGATTTTACTTGCATTATTAAGCTTTTCTTTTTTTTCAATATTTTGAAACATTTGAAAATTTTGAAAAAAATTACAATTTAAAGCTCTTGTGAAAACAACAAGTTAATATGTCATAAATGTACTATGTACTAATAGAGGAGGAACTTTTTATCCCATAACTTTGATTCTTTTTATCAACAACATTACATTCATATGCAATTGATTATTAGAAAACACTAGAGCAAACTAATGTTCTTGAGAGAACCAACAATAAAGTGATATAAATGAATTTAAATATATTAAATTAGAAGCAACTTCCTAATAATATTTAGATAGAACTAGTGACAATGTTGATTCATCTCCCAACAAGGCACTGTTGAATATGCTTCTTATAAACCATGGTATGAAAGAAAGTCTAATGTTAGTAATTAGAAATATTTGGCAATGTAGTACGCCTAGATTGTTTTATACAAATTGAAACATTATGATAGCTCCAATGGCTATCTAATGCTAGGTCTCCAAATATCTAGCAATAATCTTCTGCTAGATAGCATAATTGATATTAATTATGCTATGAATGAAATATTTTGAGTGCTCTTATGATTCAAGTATATTAACTATTATTCCTACTAGATATCTAAATTTAATTTTATATTGGAGAGGATTAATGACAAATCATTGAACTAGATAGCTGAGGTAGATTACAAAAGATTACTTGAGTAGATCTATCAACCCCTATCTAGACACTATCAACAATTTTTGAGTCCTTTAGTATGATGTTGTATTGTGCTGAATTACGACTATGCTTCATTTGTGCTTAAAATAACTTAAAATATATTATGGTTTTAGCCATAAAATCAATGGAGTGATATTTCCCTAGACTATTTAGTAGACTATAAAGAACCTATCTCATGCTCATTGTAGAAGAAGCCTGCATTCTTATTCATATGAATGGAGTCTAAAGCTGAATTAGATAAATATCTAGATTACATCAAATTAGAAGACTGAATTTTTTTATATATTATACTAAGAATTTTAACTTTATATATTCCTATGCCATAATTTGTTTTTAAATTATGTTGATTCTATTTTATATTTCACATTTGTAAAAAATATTAGAACTTCAAATTAGAAAGTTTAATATTACATATCATACAAAAAAGATATCCCCTCACCCGTTTCTTATAAACTCTCTTAAAGCCCATACAAAAATTAAGATTCCAAAGGAAGGGAAGAATGAGAATTTTTAATGGAAGAAATATAATAATACAAAGAAATCAATCATGAGACCTTGAAGAATTGCTCTCAAAAAGATGTTACAGGTGTAAAAATGGAGCTTCATGTTCACGTGGTTGTTAAAAGTATATAAGGCAAAATTGTTATCCAACAATGCATTAAACATCACAATGATTTCAACAAGGACACAAAACAAACTTGATGCAGCAACACTAGAGAGTTTCCCTTTCATTGAAGAACTACTTAGGCAACCCTTGGTTTGGAGAACTAGCAATTCAAGTTTCATCCCACTATTTATCTATAATTAAACATAATTTGTTTGGGTTTTCTTTCATAATAGGCACCCATGTTCTAACATTTCCAACCACCATGTTTACTTCTATCATTTACCTTTAATTCATACTTAGGTCATAATAGCATTATTTAAGGATTTGTAGTTTATGTTGTCAATATCCTTAATTTTTGATAATTAAAAGTGAAAATTGATTGATTTGTGACTATTGAATATTCATAGTTATTTTTATGTCTCAAATATTCAATATAATTAGCCATTAGCTGTAGGATCATCCTGTAGCGAAATAATAAGTATATGGTTAAAAAGGTATAAACAAATTGTGTGAATTATCTTATCTTTGATTTATATTTCTTTAGCCATATTATGCAATATGTAGCATTCTGAAATGATGATAGATAGGTTTCATAAGATCTCTTGTGGATTACATCATCAAAAATATAAAAATTAAAGATATACTTCAGTTTTGAAAAGATTATCCTAACAATGACACATCAACTACTTATATGGATAAAAGTTCATAATAGACTTGGATCTTTTGAATTAAACTTGGACATCCAACCATTCAGCGTCATGTTATGAAACTCTAGTTCAAATTTGAACAAAAAAGGACAAGAATATAGGGAGATTGGAAGGTTCAAAGGTAGTTAATATACATTCCAAAAAATAATAAGTTTTCAATGAGGTTTATGAATGTTTGGGATCTTTGAAAATCAATAAACTATTAAAAGAGAAAGGCAAACTTCAAAGATAAGGCATTCACATCCAAAATTAGTTAAACATCAAGCTCTTCTAATAGTATGCATCAACAACATGAGATAATGTTACATCTTCTCCGATTGATTTTGGTAAAACAATCAAGATCACTTATATAGTTTTTGTTCTTCATCAGGCCCTAAGGTAATTAGGTGGCTTGAATGAAGTTTTGAGGTGTTAATAGCCACATTTGGCCTATGGAAGGTTAGGTCTCTAAGGAGACAAACTTGAGATCTTTTGGGTAGCTAAGTTTGTGATTTTGAATGTGTAATTCTTGAAGAAATTAATAAATACCAGAGAGAATTTCCCTCTAGGACTGAAAATAATCAGGTGAGAGGTGAATCAATATAAAATCTTAGTGTTATTGATGAGTATATGTTGAAATGTTTTTCATGATATAAGTGTGGCGGCACATATTATGACACATACACATAGATCTAGCCTAAATAAAAAAAATAGACAAAAAATTTAGAAACCCAATTCACCCCCACTAGTGGTGTTTTACCTACTTCTTAGTTTCAACAAATAAGACCATAAAACCCATTAATTATTTTAATTTAAATAGAATTGAAGCATATTTTTCTTTATAATGATTTATGCATTTTTATTTTATTAATTTGAAATGATTATCCTTGATTTTGGTTGTAATATTTAGGTGTGTTGAGGTGGGTGCTATTAAAATACATCTAGTCTTCAAGTTTTTGGTTAATGGAGAAGAAAAATCCATTTTTGGGCAAGAGAGCCAAAGGGCAAAGAAACCCTCCACATTTTCTACCCTTTTTGCTACTCATTCCAACACCTATTTGCATTCACTCATTCCTACATTGACCTACCTATACCTAATTGCCTTACACCCACTCCAACTTGCATGTATTCATCTATACACATGCTCTAACCCACTTGCACATATTTTACTCATAACTATTTGCTTGCTCCAATCAGCACCAATGACACTCACCTAGGCTCATGTCACCAGCCCACTATGCACCACTTAGTGAATACACTTGAAGCATTCCACATCCACATCATGTCCACTTACGTATGTTCTCTCAAAGACCTAGTCATGTGACCATTAATAATTATTTGAGCATGTTTAAGAAATCCGATTTTAACATATTATCTAATTTATTTTTATTAGTTAATTATCATGAGATAAGTTAATATTGTATTATTCAAGACGTCATCATCTCTTTTGCCTCAACTTCCATAAAACTTCATTGTGTTTAGATGAAGTGTATAGTTTGATAGGGAAAAAGGAAGAAAAAGGAAGGTGGAGTGAACTATCACTTTAGAAATATGCATAGCAGTGAATATCACTTTTTCAATCATGATGTGAGTTGTCAAGATGGTAAAACATAGATATTGAGTGTTGCAGTGGTTCATCCCTATTAACTTACTTCACTCTATAGAGGTCGACCCCCTAATTGAACTACCCTCATACCATACAAATAATGGAATGCTCAACTTGTAATTTTATACGGCCCAAGCACACATGATGCTTGCTTCTAGATTCTCAACTCCAAGGCATTAAATTAAATTAGCACCCAATTAATCTATTCTAGATTAATATTCAACATTTTCTTGTAGCATGGTTAGCTAGGGCTTTGATTTTGAAAGCTTCAATCCTTCAAAGAACTGCCTTAAACTGTGTTAAAATCAAATCTTAAAAATTTGTCTCATTGAGCAGTACAAGCACAAGAATTTTTTAGGATGGCTCTAAAGTAAATAATCATATCGATAGTTCTAATGGTAGCCAATGAGTGCCTAACTACTCACTTCAGGTCCATTAGTATAGCATGAGCATGGGTAAATTACACAAGTTGCATTTGAGCACATATCATGACAACATAAGTATGATGCAATGTAGCATAGGGTATTGTACTTTGGTAAACTATAGTGCAAATTGAAGGAAATGAAGGTCAACACTTGTACGCAATAATATTTTGTAGGAAAATTTTCTTTTATTTTGTTTTCTTCTTCTAACACAAGCAGGCCAAGGTGGGTTGACTCCTTTCTTAAAAAACTTTAAAAATTAAAACATATAAAATTATTCCTAAATTTCTGTGCAACTCTTTCGGTGTTTAGTGGCCAATAAAATTGATACTTCCAAGTGGTAATATAATTTAAAAAAAGCATAAAAGGATATGACCTTGTTGACTTTTGTGCTTTTGTCAACTTCAAAACTCAAAAGGAAGATGTGATGTAGTTTATTAGCTAGCTACCGTCGAGTATTATTTAGGTGCTTTGACTTCTCAAGGGTATTAATTTGCATGAAACTTGTTTAGGATACCAATTATTCCTTTGACTAGGCTTAGATATCTCTTGAAATGGAAAGCTCCTCATCATAAGCAAATCATCATCAAAATCAGAATAGCTTTTTAGATATGCAATTTAGTCTTCCTTCTCATCTTGTAATTTATTTTGTTCTTAGAATCGAGCATGGAGGCTTAAGTCAAAGCCTTTGTTAGGCCCAAAATGCAGGGTTTTTCTTGGAAAGGTTCTCCCTTCAATGCAGCGATGATGGCGCGTCAATAGTCAACGGTTAGTCACTGTCCTTGGATGGTTTTGGCGGGGTTTTGTATGGCCACCCCCGACTGCCCGACCCTCGATGTCGCACGTGGATCGCCGAGGTCCAACCTCTCTTATCCTTCAGTCATGGCGGGATGGGCGGCGATCAGATGGACGCCCCGCCCCTACGCCGCGTTAACGCTCCCCGTTCTCTCGCGTTTGCATCACCGTGGAAACCTTGGGCTTCCTCTGCTGAGGGGCGATAGAAATCGCTCGTGCAGGCCGATGTCGTCGTCGTCGTCGTCGTTATCTCCCTCTGCTTCTGCGGAGGTCGGTGGCTCCACCGCCGCCGGTGGTGGTGCGGGGAAGGTCACGGCTCCGTACGGTTCGTGGAAGTCGCCCATCACCTCCGATGTCGTCGCAGGCGCGGAGAAGCGCCTCGGAGGAATTGGGGTCGCCGGGGACGGGCGGCTTGTGTGGATAGAGTCCCGCCCTGAAGAAGCAGGGTGAGTGATCTCCATCTCTGTCCTCGCGCTGAATGAAAACCCTCCCTAGAATCTTTTTCTTTTCTCTTTTGGGCAATGGAATGAGTTGGGGGATTGTTCCTCATGCTGAAGGTGTCCGGATGCTGAACATCTTGAGGTTACAGGAAATTGATATGTTTACAGCACTCAGCGAGAGCCTTCTTTTGGGGATCTGAAAAAAAATCGTTGATGTGACGCCAGCTAACTCATGCCAAGAACAGTAAACTACTGGCCAAATCTTGTAGTCTCTACCTAAAGCTTGTCTAAGAATCAAGATAGCCACAATTAGAAAGTGTTAACGTGGATGGAATCTTAATAAGAGCCTTCTCAAGGCCTTTACTCCAACCCATCATGAGAAACCTTAAACGGTGCGCCTGACCTAGATGAGAATTACATAAAAGACTTCAGTGAAATTTTATTCGGCGTAAAATTCTAATGAAAAAAATATATATAACCTGCACAAATATCTCATTAAATAAAAAAAATAAGGAAAAACTAACTACTGTGTTCCTCCATAGGAAATATGTTATAATTCCGACTGAAATCAGCACAGCGGATCCAATCTTAAAGGGTGTAAATTCCATCAATTAGAGAGCATTAGATGATAGTTCAACTTCCAGTTAATCACTAAAAGTAAAATCTCCAAGGTTTGTTTCTGTCAGACGCAGATAATGTTCAAGCAACTAAAACTAATAAAGGACCCAGATAATGTTCAAGCAACTGAAACTAATAAAGGACCTTAGACCAGAGCAGTTACTTGGCAGGCTTCTTATTCTGTGGTATAGGATTATTCCGTACCAATGTTAAATCAATGTGGATTACCATATCGCATTAAGATTGAGGATACTCATTAAAAAAATTGAAAGAAACTGGAAACATAATCCTTTTTTTGCTTTTTAAAGAAAGCAAACTTACTAATGTACGTTGTCTTAGTCTAGTATATTGACATGCACCAAAGATCTAGTATGTACAAATAATTTACCACGCATGGGAAATCACCCCACTCCTTTGATGGTACTGGCCCATCATTTTCTATATGTTTTTCATTCTTGTTCTCTAGTTTTATCATTCTGGTTTCTTTTTTTCCTTGTGGAGGTTCAGCGGGAATGGGGGCAGCATGGGGAAGTTAACACATGCTCCTCTCTTCTCCTTTGTTTTCTGGATTTCCTCTTTCAGTTCTTATTCCTACCAAATAGAGGAGTCTACCAAATTGGTCACTTAAATTGTTCATCATTGGAAGCACGATATTAAGTTTGAAGTGGAGGGAGGCTTCCCTGGGAGGCAATGCTATTTTAATGTCTTCAAGCCTTGAACATGGAACTAAATAAATCTGTACTGAATTGTGAATATTTTGAGTCAGGTAGCCAGAATAGGGTACCTGTGCCGCTTCCTTCTTGAAATTAAATTCGTCCCTACTGAACCCTAGCTTGTGCAGATCCAGATATCCGGACTCTGTCAAATGTTCCAATGCATGACTAATCCTCTGATTTCAAACCGATAACGGGATGGAGAGTGATAGATTGGTTCGCTTTCTAGTCTTCTGCGATCTGACTAAACTTTTGTTCTCTTTTCATCTGGACCTTGGGATGCGTAAATTTATGTAGATGTTGACTGCAGATAAGTTATGTAATCCTTGTTGTTATCCTTTCCTGACATTTCTTCTAGACCAAATTCATCTGTCAGGAACCAATTCCCAGAGGATTATTTTACGTCCATATGCTCAACTAGGAGCCTATGAAATGGTTCCATTACTAACATGAACTTGAGGCAATGATTTAAAAGATAACGTGGAGATTTGAAGGTGTTTCTGGAATCTTTTTTTTTTTTTTTTCTACGACCAAGGAAAAGTATCCGAACGGTATATTAACGAATTCGCAAAGATGCCCACTGGTGTCTGTTCAGCTAGTTTACTTTAAACCACTATATTAGGAAGCCCTCTGCTTTTTTGAATAAGAGACAAAGAGGAAGCATTAGAATTTTACAGGTATCTAAACTACATCACAAAGATTATTACTGTAAGTTCGTGTAATATTACAATATTTCCATTTTATCTGGAAGCCGTTGCGATAGAGAAAAAACCCTTTGCCAGACTTCTCCTTCGCAATCTAGAATGTGATAGCTGTGGCCTTAGTACGAATGTGTCCTGGAGACCGATGTCTTTTGGTCATCTTTGAACCCATCTATAATTAAGTTAAAAACTTTTCCCATTTTCTAGATGGCTGACTAAAAACTAGGAAAAATTCCTGTCACCCCTAAGAATGTCAATTCTGTGCCAGTGGTTGTCATTGTTCATCTTATTCATATATGATGCTGTGTTCTTCTCTATAATACTCTGACTGCAGTACACTTGCTCAATTCAATAACCACTATTGAATTCTTATAATGCATGAACTACATTTGGTTGAACGCATATTTTCGTGAGTTGGAAGTCTTGATAATCATGCAGGTTCGTTTATTTTCATCATACTGATTTTGATGGTCCAGTAAACTTTAGATAGGTCCAGGTTTTGAATGATGTAATATCTGTGACAAATAAAAGTTGCCAATACATTCTAGACAGTGTCATATTTTAAGTGAATGAGGCCTTGCTGAGCTATCTCTTCAATGGCTAGTAGATCTAGTTTTTTATATTTTTTGCCCTAAGATGAGGCCATTATGAAATGACTATGACTTTTGCGTAGGTTTTTCTCCTGTTGTACAAAACGTATGGCTAAGAATCGGAATCTTTTAAATTTTTTTTAGGATTATTTCTGAATAACAATCAAAATGAAGGCTGTACTGGGTCAAATAGGCTTTATAATTTTGAGGAATTACACCAAAACAATAGTGGTGATCATAGTTAGGTGTCCATGGGAATGATCTTGAAGGAGAACAATTGATGAAATTCAATGAAGAGGCTTTTTGTTCAGTTTATTCTATGTCCACTAACGAAGCCATTACTTTGTGAAATAGGATTCTTACTCTTGTCTTTCGGGTATGTATTACATCTCCTGCCACCTTTTCATTCTCTTCTTTCCTGTTGGGCACTTTTTGTGCATACCACGTTAGGACATTTGAAGTTTTTGACTCTGAAATTTTTTGTTCAGACGTATGGTCCTTGTTAAGGAACCTGTGGAGCCAGAGAATAAGCCTATAGATATCATTCCTCAAGAGTTTGCAGCAAGGACGTTGGCTCAGGAATATGGAGGGGGTGCCTTTGCAGTATCCGAGAACATGGTCTTTTTTTCAAACTATAAAGATCAAAGGTTGTACAGACAGATCATCGGAGGTAATTCGTAACATAGATTGTGCTTGAAGATGTCTTAATTCTTGGTTTAGTAGCTTTCAGGTAAGATTTTGCCATTATGTATGGTACAGGACTGACATTGTATAATGTTTCAGATCTCCTCTTGTTAAGTAAGTTCTACACTTAGCTGGACGAAGAGCGTGCACTTAGATTCTGGAGGGAGAGATCCCTTAGATGCTTGAAAGCTCTGGCATAAAAGCTATGATGAACTGGGAGCAGAGGCCAGGATATAGGGGGCAAAGTTGAAGCGTCTTCTAGCCATAAACTTTGCCTTTTTTAAGGGACTCAGGACCCGTATCCTTCAAAGAGATGAAGAGTCCCAAACGTCATTGGAAGGGACAAATATAAGTAGATAAATACGGGAAGACGCAGAGGAGTCAAGGTTTTAGAAAGGTTCAGGAAAGCTAAACACCCTAAAAATACTAATGATGACGATCTTGAATGCGATTGGTGTCCTAAAATTGGAGATGACGGATTTTTTATGAAGGATAAGAAAGTTAGGAAATTGACAAACTATTTCTTTAAACAGTCCCTAAGCAGTATGTCATTGTTTTGGATGATGCTGATGACTTGTAGGGAGCCACAATGACGAGGGAAGGCAGAAAAGCATAGGGAAGATGGTGTAGGGACTGTGTGCATCATGATTGGTCTACTGTTTAAATCAAGTTCTAGAAGTGAGGAAAAAAGCAGTCAGTTCATTAGAGTGCCAATCATTGACTAAACATGGAAGGCAGCATTCAACACACGATATCATTCTATCCTTCAAGCTATGTTTTATATAGAAAGCATTGAGGCACAATGATAATTCATAGGTGGATGGATATTAAATACAAGAATAGCTCATATATCCTGAAACTTTATTCATGATATGGTAGGGGTGACAACAATATGCAATACTATGGAACCACATTAAGATGTTTTGGAAATTTTAAAGAGGACTGAGATGGGCATCTTAAGAGGTATGGTTGCCATTTTATGGTTCTACAGGGATATGAGGAAAACCATATTGAACACTGGATGAGATTTTTACCGGAATGAAATTCAGAAAATTGAATATTCATGCAGAATAAAATGAGATGGCAGAATACTATCTCCATCATAAGGTGCTGTTCCTTAGTTGCATCAATTTAAACAGAGACTGCAATCTTCTGTCATACATCTTTAACCAAATCGACAAGGCAATCTCCCTGAATTGAGAGGCATGCAGAGATTCATTTTTATATCGAGATGCATACAGCATTTGGCGAAAAATAGTTGAACATAAGAAATCCGAATGCAGGTGATGAGTTTCTTATGTTCAAAAATGTTAAAACAACTGTTGAAATATCTGTCACGTGCAGTTGACACAGATTCATAATGGGACAACCGATTTTAGGTTTTTTTCAAGTATCCTCATTGGTGTTCAGCGTCTAGTCTTGGAGTGTCTCTCGTTATCTTAGAACAATAGGCCTGTGAAAGCTGACTTTCCTTAAAATCTTCAAGACCCCTTATAACTTAAACCGTAATTTTCTGTTGCTTTAAAAGATAATTGTATTATTTTCATCTTTTTCTAATCAACACAATCAATCTGACACTTTTATCAAGCTTTCAACATGTTGCCCAATTATTTATGGTATAATTCTTTATGTGGAAGATGCGTACTTAGAATCATCTACTTTTAACCTGGGTGAGTTAACATCGGTTTGAACTGCCTCTGTTCATCAGAGAAATTTCCAGTGCCGATCACTCCTGATTATGGTGGACCTGTTGTCCGCTATGCCGATGGAATGGTTGACCCCCATTTTAAGCGTTATGTCACTGTAATGGAAGGTCAGGAACATGAAATCTATCACATTTCTTGATATATTTTGTTTTTATTCAATTTAAATTAATTTCATCCGTCTTTCATATGCCAGATCATCGCCAAAGTAGCACAAATGCAACAACATCAATAGTCTCTATAGATTTCAGGAATGAAAACATTCTAGGTGAGTACAAATATTCCGTGGACATTCTACAGATCTTTGTGACATTCTTCTGGGATAACATACTTAGAAATTTTAGTGAAAAGCTTTTTTGGAGTTCTTGCTTGTTTACCTTGTGTTCCAGAACCAAAGGTACTCGTTAGTGGCCGTGATTTCTATGCTTCACCACGTATTGACCCTGTTGGAAAGAGAATGGCTTGGATTGAATGGGAACATCCAAATATGCCTTGGGACAACTCTGAACTTTGGGTTGGTTATTTTTCAGAGGATGGGTAAGATATGTTTCCCTCCTGCAGGATAAACTGTTTTCCATGTCTGTTGCTGATAAAATTTTCATAATTTATTTTTTATAATGTAGGGTTCAATATGATCTTAGTCAATGTAGGAACTTAAAAAACATCAGACTGATCCCTGTCGCTCTTCAAATCAAAGTCATCTTTTAAAATTATTTTCTTGCACGTCTCAGATATTGTTCATACATAGTTGTTTTTAAACTCAGTGATTGTGAAGCATCTCCAATCCAAAACAACTTCTTGATGCTACCTTGGATCATTGAGATATGCCCGTTTTTCCTACCAAGGATTGACCAAGATGTCAAGGAAGAAAGGGCACTGCCGTGAGGATCCAAGATTAGAATAGTGATCAATATGTGAAATAGGGTCAAAAAAGTTCTAAGAAGAGCCAATCCAGCGGGTTGTAACATTGTACATATTATCTGTCAGAGAATTACCAGTGAATATGACTTCGACTAACATCTACACAGACCCTTTCTCAAACACGTTTGATATAGTCAAATCAAGCGCATTGGTCATTTGAAAATTCGTCCATTTATTGCTTGGAATGCTTTCGTTTTTTTCTCCTATGAGATTTACTTTCTACTGTTGTTCATTTGTAGAGTGATCTCTTTCATTTGTTTTCATCGTTTATGTGCAGAGAGTTATCAAAACGTATATGTATTGCTGGTGACAGTCCTGCCTTGGTGGAATCTCCAGCTGAACCAAAATGGTCTCCAGAAGGTAGCAATAGAAAGCAATGTCTAAGAGGCCAACTGAAAAGATGAGAGTGATGATTCAATCTTGCATACTATATAGACTAAGAGGCCAACTTCCTTCCAGATTTTGTGATCTCTCATTGACTTTAAGAGCAGCGTATTATTAGACAAAGTAAACAAAGACCCCTGAGGCGTGCCAACTGGGTTGAAACATTTGGCCGCCTGCTAGAAGGGAAAACACATTGCTACAGCATGATCAGCAACCATAAGCAGGGTACATAACCCAAATGAAAAGTAATCAATCAGCAACCACGTAGAGGTATGATTTTCATGCAACCCAAATAGAAGACAAGGTGAAACCAGAATCATGGAATTAAATGAAGAACAAAGTCAAAAGATTAAACCTGATCCTTGGATAAGTATCTATACATATTATGTACAAATATACCTTCGAACAGCAGAACACTGGCCATCGACCTGAAGGTGGAGACACTGAGGTAGACAATACCCTTTTTTTCAGATCAGGGTGACTTTCTTCTAAACCAGCCATTTTCCAACACAACAAGTGTAGGAGACATGCCCACTGGTTGACACCCGCAGATCTTCCCCATCAGCATAATCTTCCTGCCATGCATAAAGGAGTGGATGCTAGAGAATATTGTGAGATACATGGATGACCGGATGATCTCTTGGTAATTTACTGGGAAAATACTGTAAGATTCTGCCTTGCAAGCTACAGATATAGATATTTCCATTGCTTCAAATTTTTCTGCACGGTGTCCTCGGCCAGCCCTGTGCTCACATTCCCAATCCAGTCCTCCAGCTGCAACATCTCTGACAAGCGAACAATGAATCCTAGTCTTAATATGTTAAATAACAATTTAAGCAGTAAAGAATATTTATTATTTATTAATATTCAGTATTCAGTAACAATATTAATTGTTCAAATTGAATCAAATACTTTTGGGATCAAAAATATTAACATGGTATCAAAAATACTTTGAGTTAGCTTTCATACCCATATTGACCTCATTGACATTTTTTGATTTTGGCTAATAATTACTTTTAAGTAATATTTTTTGTAAATATTAGTAATTTAAACTGGTAAAATTCATCAAAGTCTAGAATTCAGTATTGTGGGATTACAATTTCAATATTTTTTTACTTTTCAATTGAGGTTTTCTTAATATGTATTCAATTAATTTCATGTTCTTGCATAATACACTATGTATCTATAGATCAATTTCATCCATAGTTAGTAGAATTCAATATTTTAATTGATCTTTTAATTGTCAAGGATCAATGCAGCAGTGAGAGCTTTTTCTTTTTGCTTCATGACCCTACTTTTATCTCAAAGTTGTATCTACAGGTAGCTTAGAGTGTGCAAGATAGTTCCTTACATCCTTGGGCCTCTTGGGTTAAAAAGGTTGTACAATAGTCTTAAAACTATCAGATCCCACTTTTCTATTTTGAATCTCCAAAATTCATGTTAATCTTATAAAGTGAATATCAATTTAGTACCTTGATAATTTCCATTGAAGTTTGTGCGTTTGACTCCTCAATGATCTATTAGTAAATAATTTCATACAAAAAATCCAAACATTAGCACTTACACATAAAATAATGACAATGCTAACTCTTATTTAGAATGGCTGACATGTCATTGGCATTTAGAATGACTCTTATTTAGAAAAATGTGTCGAGCATATGATGGTCACTGGCATTTTTTGAATGAATGGCTGACATGTGAAAGATGTCGAAGAACAAGGGAAGAGGGAATTACCTCCTTGGGTGTGGTGTCCTGGAATGAATATTTCTCACGAGCTACTGATTAATGGATACCTATGACACAGATGTAGTTGACAAAATAATCTCAATTGCCTTTCGACAAGTTTGCAACACAATTTTAAATTTTGGTTTCCAATTTATGTGGAAAGAATTACCTGAGATGTGCAAAAATTTGATGATGAAATATGTTTCAAAAACTTTTACCATTTTTTTCATCGTTCCTCGTTCAGGTTATGTGGTTTCTAGATTTCAAGAACAACACATTATATCTAACATTTTTTTAATTGGATTTATGCTTTTGAAATTTTGCAGGGGAGTTATTTTTTATTACTGATAGAATTGGTGGATTCTGGAATATCTATAAATGGGTAAATCCTTACTCAAAAATTCTGATGTTTAATCTTTTTTTCGCTATTTAACGATTATGCAGTGCTATCTGCTTTCAAATTATGCAATGATAACTAAAGAATTAATAATCTTGTGAGATGAACTTCCGATGGTTATTATTTTCTAGTTTTCTTAAAAAATAGCAATTTGCTTATTGAATAATCTATGACATACAAATATACACAGTGAGACTTTCAATGTCAGCTTGCACCAGGGTGGTATTAGAAGGCTCTTTCACCACAACCAAAATTATTTTATAAGAAAATAGAGTTTCAAAGAATTGTATAGTAGTCCCTTTGGTCACAAGGAATTGCACGGTAGTTCCTTTGGATTAGAACTATGTACACAGTGGAGATGCAATAATTCTGCCATTTGAAGTGAGATATGGATGGATCTGTTAAACGGTCTTATGGGTGTCAAAATTAGTGTTAAACTACCCAGAATAGTAGATTCTTCATCCCACCTCCATATCCTGCAGAGCATTGTAATATTTATGGAGTTCCAGTTAGGGAAAGCTAACTAGAACAGTGGAAAGGGATTGCATACGAATTATTTGTTCACAAAGAAAAGTGAAACAATCTGGGAGGCGATTACTTGCAGCACGTGTTTAAAGTCGTCCAATCGAATCTCAGACCTACTTCACTCCCCAAACCATATTATAAACCTGAAAATTTCTACTTTAAAAATCCGGGAAAACCTTAGAATTTGAAAAAAATAGAAACAATAGAAATCACTGTTTGAAAATTTTACACACCTTTAAATGTTCTGAAGATTAATTTTGACTTAAAAAGCGATTTACTTTGGTGAAAACCGCTTAACCCAGGTCTGCAAATATAAGGAGGATTAAGTCAGGTACCAAAGCTGCTTTTTGCCAACAGTCATCGTCACAATATTGACGAAAGTAATTCGATGTGTTGCAGTCATAGTTAATAATATTTTATGGTCTGCATTAGCAACTTTTGGCGGTAAAGCTTTGATTGGAGTGAAATGTATGTATTTATTTAACTCAACTAGAAATCTGGCACATAAGATCAAGTTTTTGTATAGGCTCATGCCTGGTTCAATGTAAACCACAAACTACTTTCTTCTTTTAGTATGGTTATCTCTAGAAAAGAAGTTGGTAGAACGTCTACTTTTTCTTTTGGGGTTGTTACAATTAATTTATGGTTTCGAATGGAAAAAAAAGAGATAATGTGGTATCCACAGAACGTGGGTAATGAAGATTTCGATTTTACCATTTGATATTCGATAATTCTAATACACTTTTTGACGGCATTTCTTGCGTCTAAAACAGAATGAAAATCAGAACAATGTGGAGCATGTATATCCTCTGAAAGCAGAATTTACAAGGCCGATGTGGACTTTTGGTATCAATTCCTATGATTTTGTGAAGGATTGGGGAAGTAATAGTATTGTTTGCACTTACAGGTCTGTCGAAGAACCTTATTTTGGATAGCTGCTTACTTCATATCTTATCATTGGCTAATGCCAATTCTTATGTTGCATTAATGTTCCTTTTTTTGAAATTTAGGAAGAATGGGGGATCATATCTGGGAATCTTGGATCATACTCAGTCTTCTTTCACTTTGTGCGATATTCCTTTCACAGATATTTATAACGTCGTGAGTTCAGAACATTTTTTTTTGTCATTTCTGAAAATTTTCGAAAATTTTCGCGCCTCAAAGTTTGAATGAAATTCGTGTCCATCGGTTTATGAAACTCTTGAAAAACATTTGGGAACACAGGTTTCTGTACAGAACTGCTTATATTTGGAGGGTGCATCTGCTGTTCACCCATTGTCCATAGCAAAGGTCAGACCTGATTCCATGAGTATTTGAAGCATTATGTTCCCTCCAGATGCGGAAGGAATACAAAGTATCTTACTAGTTTAGCTGTCTTATAATTTCTATCAGGTAATACTAAATGATGAACTTACAAAGGTTGCAGCATTCTCCATCATCTGGTCTTCATCTCCAGATATCACCCGATTTGAGCCATATTTTAGCAGGCCAGAGGTTATTGAATTTCCTACTGAGCGTCCAGGGGAGACTGCCTTTGCATTTTTCTATCCACCATCAAACCCCATCTATCAAGCAAGTCCTGATGAGAAGCCTCCATTATTGTTGAAAGGCCATGGTAAGTAGTCATCATTCTAGAAGGCAAAACCGTACAATATTCTTGATCCATTTCAAAATTTTGCTGGTTCCGTCTTTGAGGATAATTCTTCTTGCTTTTTTTGACTCATTTTGGACATTGTTAATAGTTTTTTCTTACATATCTTGCTCTTAGTAAACTGACCAGCTTCATTTCACTTTTGTCAGATAAAACTCTCACCTACTTATTCAGAAATCATAATTGGAATGCTTGTCATTTGGGTTTTATGATATTTGCCTTTTATTAATCATCTGGCATTAATGAATATTTTCAATGTTATATAAAAAAAAATATTGAAGTACGGATGAAATAAAATGACCGACGATAACATTTAACAAAGTATTTTACCTATTTCACTTTCTGTTTCCGTCCGAGTTGGAAAATATGTTACATTTGAAGATGTGGATGAAAAATCCTAACTTCCGATTGCTGTTAAACGAGAGTTATATTTTCTGGCATTTATTATGGATTTTTAAACATCATCTTAATATCATGAACTCCAAAATCTGATCTCGTTTGCAGGGGGTCCTACAGGTGAAGCCCGTGGGTTACTGGAACTTTCCATCCAATATTGGACTAGTCGTGGTTGGGCATTCGTAGATGTTAATTATGGAGGAAGCACTGGTTGGCAGATAATCCATTCACTTCGACGACTTTATTTTTTTCTGTTTTCTTTGGTTAGGAATTAGAGCCTATATCTAATTTTTCCTTGCTTTTTTTTTAATGGGAAGTCTTAGTAAAGAACTTTTTCTCTCCTGGATAGTAAATAAGAATATTTTTTTTCCCACCATTACTGCTTCAGCATCATTTAACCCAAATTTGTATGCAAAAATCTTAGGCTATGGCAGAGAATATCGAAGCCGGCTTTTGGGACAGTGGGGCATAGTTGATGTAAATGACTGCTGCACCTGCGCCACATTCCTGGTGACTCATTTTCATCCCTCCATTCCTTTTTTCCTTTTATAGCAACTCGGTTAGTATCTTTTAATGAGAGGAACTTACTTACCTTGGCCTTTGGCTTCTAAGGCGGATCAAGGAAAGGTGGATGGTGATAGGCTCTGCATCATGGGAAGGTCAGCAGGCGGTTACACGACTCTGGCTGCGCTGGCTTTCAGAGACACTTTCAGGGCTGGTGCGTCATTATATGGTGTAAGTATTAATATTTTTCACCAGCAACCTTATTCCTAGTGATGTAAAAATGGTTATTTTAGCAGCTGGACCAGGGCTCATATGTTCTCTGAGTAGTTGGATTGATCAAGGACTCAATATATTAAGTTGTGGGGAAGAGTATATGTAAACTTCTGATTCTGGTGTTAAACATGTTGATTTTTTGTTTTCCGGAAGAAAATATCTCTTATCCTATATTTTCGACAAAAAACAATTCTATTTTGGGTTATTGACTATTTGTTGAAGCTTTGGATTTCTATATTTTTAATTAATAAAGAAGGGTCATTTTCTTCCCAAAAACAGGTTGCTGATTTATCTTTGCTGCGAGAGGAAACTCACAAATTCGAAGCTCGGTATCTGGATAATCTCCTTGGTACATAATCACTGCACAAGTTCGCTAATTCAACATTTTTTTTATATAACTGACGGATTTTATTTTATTTTTTACGGTATGATTATGCAGGATCAGATCACGCGTTCTATGAGAGGTCTCCTATCAATTTTGTTGACAAGTTCACATGTCCTGTGATCTTATTCCAAGGATTAGAAGACAAGGTATTGAAGCCATTAGCATACTACTCTGGTTGAACTCTGAATTAATAGTCATGGAGTCAAGTAATTGCATTGAACGGTGCATTAATTCTTTTCCATTCATGTCATGTAGTTATTCATGATTCTCGTTCATGACTTCCATTTGAATCCACTTTGAGAAAAGATGTCTCTTCAGTGTGGAATTTAGACAGAAATTTCTTTAGATGATGGGTCAAGAACAGGGCTTGCTATCCCAAATATGTACGATTATAATGATCCAATTCTGGTTAATGTACCCAAATAGTAAAAGTCAACCCTCTAATGAGATTATCTTATTCCGGTGAGACCATGCTGTGGGGAATTTAGCAAAAGATTTCTGTAGATTATGGGTCAAGAACAGGGCTTTGCTATCCCAAATATGTGCGATTATAATGATCCAATTCTGGTTAATGTACCCAAAATAATTCAGCATTGTCTCATCGGAATAAGATAATCTCATTAAAGGGTTGACTTTTGCTATTTGGGTACATTAACCAGAATTGCCTCATCAGAATAAGATTATCTCATCACGCGGTTGACTTTTACTTTGAAACACACAATGCAGGTTGTGCCCCCAGAACAAGCCCGTAAAATTTACCAATCTTTGAAGGAGAAAGGGATACCTGTTGCTCTGGTGGAGTTTGAGGGGGAGCAGCATGGTTTCCGCAAGGTTCCTGTTTTGCCCCTAGTTTAGTATTTAATCCAGTTGGATCGGATTGATATGGAAGTGTTGTTTTTTCTGGTATGATTTTGCAGGCTGAGAACATCAAGTTCGTGTTGGAGCAGCAGATGCTGTTCTTTGCGCGTTTAGTGGGAAAATTTGACCTGCCTGATGAAGTCTCTCCAATCAAGATAGACAACTTTGACTAAACCAGCTTGCACCGTGTTATTGTCAACTTCAAACCAATTATAGCAAAGGAGCTACCATCCTGACAGGGCAGATTCTGCAGAAGCCATGTATGACTTCAGATGAGCCATTTAATCTAGTTCTACTTTAGTGGTTTGACTTAGAAAAGGTATCAGCCTTATTTGGTTAAATGAGGTTTCACTTAGTCAATCAAATAGTCAACAGTCTTTGTGTGCTTATTAGTAGATTGTCATACTAATTTTATGGGATTCCAATGTGACCATGAATCATGAAGCAAATCATGGGTTAAATGATATATTTCTTGCTATAAATCTCTGATGTTATCTTGCGATTCCCTCAACCTGATATATTTCATTGGGTAACTAGAATCATTATTCTAATTAATTAATCATCTCAATATTGTGTTAGTCATATCAAGGGGTTCCAAAGCTTCCAAAGGATTACTATTTATTATTCCCTTGATATTAATCCATCAAAGTTTGATGCAAAAAGTTTTCAATCACATTACATATTTATATAATATACATTTTTTATTATGCCACATGTCTCAATATCTATATATTTTGAGAGAGAGAAAATAAGAACTTAGATGTACATAGCTAACCCAATAATCAACACCTAGAAGTGTTATAAAAGAAACAAAATTACATCAACTTGCCCCAATGTAGAAACCTTGGAAAACTTGTCTACATCAAGCTACATGGGCCCACACATAAAATGAAAATATGTAGGGTCAACCTAAGGATCACCTTATGGTACCAACTTAGCCCCATATATAATAAACATTCTAGGAAGAAAGGGTACTTTTCACTGCACATTACATCACCAATTCATTAAGTGAGAAATTAAAGAAACATAATTAATAGAAATATATGATTGATTTGGGCTACCAAGGTGCTCATTCTCATGTCATGGTGTCATTGCTTTTTGCCACATTGCATTCTAGTATCTACATATGATTCATATCCAATGTTTTCTTCCCCTATTGAGAAATTAATCTTGGTTATCACGACATTGACTAATATCATTTGCTTAGATTAGAGAGTGTAACATCATGTCAACTTAGATCGTTGGTTGAATAATATAATTAATATAATGACAATTGTTCTTGTCAATATACATTTTAAGGATATTAGTTTAAAACTTATAGAGGGATTAATATCATTTTTCACACATTTAAGGGTCTTCAAATTTACAAATCATAAACATATATATATGGTCAATTCTGGTTTAAAGTCAAAACATGGAGTGATTGTCAAAAGAAGTTTTAGATACATTTAATATCGCATAGATAAATTTCATTTTTAATGATGCTGAATAGCATTTTTTAAAAAATTAAGTTGATATGAGGTCAATTAATGTTCAAACTATATCAAATATTTTTAAAATGACATTGCAATGGGTAAACAAGATATAGAAAAAAAGAGGGAACTTAATGGTATGAAGGATGGTAATGTTTATTATTATTATCTATATGAATATGGTTGGTGATTAAAATTCATGGTGCATGCTTGCTTGATTATATAAGAAAATCCATAAAAAATGACCTTATAGGAAAATTTTAATCACGTGATATTTCTATTAAAAGTAAACTTTGGATTATTGAGCATTTTAGAGGTTGATTATCCAAATCATTATTCTTCTTACTCTAAGGTGGTGCTTAAGTTATCTAGCCCAAAAACCAATAACCATTTCATAAAATGATAGGTTTTGCTATTCCCAAGTGCAAAACACTAAAATTATTTACATTTATACTAATAAGACTAATTTCTTTTTTTTTGTCACCTTTATTAGGCATCTCAAAGTAATAGATAGCTACTAGCAACAAGTTCCAGATGTGCATTTACCTTATAGAGTTAGTAACCTAGACCATCAACTTAGTGTCAAATGTCTAACTCTTGCACCATTTTATCTAATGAATAATGAATAATGTACGGAGAACAAGTCGAGTGTTTAGCAATTGTATGGTAACATAAAATTAATCGACCCCATGAGATGTCTCTTAGAATTCTAAACTCACTTGTTAGTTCTAACATTTTGACTAAAATGAAAAGCTAATGCTCTAAAGGTCAACGCTTCATTACTTCTAATGTTGTTACCTTTTTCCCGTATTAGTAGTTAAGTTTTGAAGTCAACTCACCTATCAGTTATAATAGTTTGACGCAAATGGGAAGGTAATGTTCTTCATTAGTTCTGATGTTGTTACTTTTTTCCCATATTAGTAGTTAATTTTTGAAGTCTATTCACCTATTAATTATAATGTTTTGACTCAAATAAGGAGCTAATGTTCTAAAGGTCAACGCAAAACAGCTAATTTACCTTGCCCATTGGTCCAATTTCCTGGCTGGCGTTCCCCCATGACAGCTCGAATGATCGGGGCCCTCCATTCATACTCCGTCTGACGTGGCTGCGAACGACGTGGGCGTCCACCTGGTAGTAGATCGGATTGGACGGTCCAGATCATTCAGGGCTCAATTAGGTGAACGCACCTCCGTCAGTTCAAGAGGGATCCCAAATCGGGCGGCGCATCTGGACGCGACACTTAGAAGTGGGGCAGATTTTCGTTCTGATAGAACGGCGGGGTAGAATAAGTAGGATGGTTATCCTTCGTGTCGGCTCCTTGATCGCTGAAACACTCATTGTCTCGAAAACGAGATCGATGTGGGGCCAAGAACGATTAAATTGAATGTATCTCACGAGTCCTCCCGCACTCTCCCGACAGCGCATTTAATTCGGGCCTGAAACGGCAAAAAACGGGCCGTACGATTGCTGATCCGCGGGACAGTTTTAGCTCAGTTACACCTTATAGCCTAAAGCAATCTTGACCGTCCATCCTAAGACGTGACACTGCCAGCGAGTACTTGGTCACCACGTCTCGGAATACGAAGACTCTCCTCTCTCTTTCTCTCTCTCTTCTCTCTTCTTTTGAGCGCAGTAAAAGGCGCACCCTACGCCTTTCCCCCTCTGACCATAATTCTTCTCTCTCTATCCCCGTCCGATTCCCACAACACCGTTCTCTCTCTCTCTCTCTCGTTCACTCTCTCTCTCACTCTCTCTCTCTCTCTCTTTCTCTCTCTTCCGCTGTTGGAATCGGAGGATCCAACTGGTTCAAGTGGTGGCAGAAGGAGGGGGGGAGAGGGTGGGGGGTGGGGCAGGTGAGGGAGGAGATGGCGTGAAGTGCACCTTCTAGGGTTTCCGGATCTGCACTACACGACCCTCTTCTCTCTGTTCTCGTCAGGGCTTCGGGGACCAGGAGGGTGGGTGGGAAGGGAGAATGGGGCTCTGTGGAAGCAAGCTCACTACCAATAGTCCTCCGCGGGAGGCAAATCTGCAGAATGGCCGCAGCAGCCCTTCTCCGGCGCGCCTGCCTTCTCCCTCACCTCGGGGTAATAAGAGCGGAGGAGGGAGGGATCAGCCGCAGCAAGATAAGGGAGAGGAGGAGCAGGAGCAGAAGGCGGAGGAGGAGGAGAAGGGGTTGACCAAGCCGTGGGCCTCCCCTTTCTTCCCGTTCTACAGCCCCAGTCCCGCCCACAGCCTCTTTAAGAAGTCTCCCGCCGGCGGGGGATCGAATGCCACCACTCCGAGGAGGTTCTTCAAGAGGCCGTTCCCCCCGCCTTCGCCGGCTAAGCACATTCGGGCTGTGCTAGCTCGGCGGCAAGGATCGGTGAAACCTAATGGGGCTTCCATACCGGAGGATGGCGATACAGGAGGAACTGGTGCTGGACTGGACAAGCGCTTCGGGTTCTCCAAGCACTTTTCGAGTAACTACGAGCTTGGGGAGGAGGTGGGGAGGGGGCACTTCGGTTACACGTGCTCCGCCCGATTCAAGAAGGGAGAGCTCAAGGGACAACAAGTAGCTGTGAAGGTCATCCCCAAGGCAAAGGTGTAAAAATGGAACTTACATTACTGTTATCTCCATCTTCTGTTGCGAGTGTCTTGTTCAGCATACAATTCGTAAAATTCTTATTTATCCGTCTGTTGACAAACCAGTCATTGATTGATCTTTTTTTTAAAACTTTTCATCTGTAAAACACCGGTCAATTTCATCTCCCTGTGTTTAGTAGAAAATTTAAAATTAGCTGCATTTTCATGATGGTGCTGTAGCAATTTCTGGAATAACTTCCTCTTAACGTTTTCACCAACTTAATTATTATCAGTGGTTTTCCTCATTGACTTTAGCCTTCAAATTTAGCTTTCTGTCAATTCTGTGTCATCCAAAATGAATTTTTGGACATCTATTCAACTTTATGTAAATGTTATACCATATTTTTGGGGGTTGGCTGAATCCATGCTTCGTGTGTCATTCTAAAGGCTTCCGAATGTCTTGATTCATGTTAAAGTACGTCTTTCAAAATTTTCATCCTCATTGATTTTTTTTATCGCATTATGTGGATAATTTTATGTATTATTATTTTAGGTTTTCCTCACATCTGTAGATAAGATTTATTTTCTACCGAAGCAATATATTTAAGCATAGGAACGTGTTTGAATTAGGATGAAATTTAATTGTTTTCGGTTTAAAAATATGTCCTCATCCTACTATTGTTAAAGATTTCTCGCGTGAACTATAAAATCTGCAGTTTCTGCTCCCTAACCTTGCATTCTCTACTGTCCCTTGCACCAGAAGTCCAGATGTCATGCTGAATTTATTGTCCAATAGCAGCTGCTTGTAATCTTCTGAAATTTTATTTTGCCCTCTGTTTGTTTCATTTATATTCTTTGATTATCTTGCCTTTGGTTTCTCAGTTACATTTTGTGACAGATGACCACAGCAATAGCAATAGAAGATGTCAGAAGAGAAGTGAAGATTTTGAAGGCTTTGACGGGACATGCCAATTTAGTCCAGTTTTATGATGCATATGAAGATGACGAGAATGTCTATATAGTGATGGAGTGAGTTTTCTGCCTAGTACATTGCTCCTGATTAAAAAGTTGATGCAACCTACGTGCGGTTTGTCATGTACATATTTTCATGAACCGTTCATGCTCATGGATCATATAAGGGTAGTCCCTTGAAGGTTCCATGTTCTAGGCGTCAACAACATTGGAATAACACATCACTGTAATCAGTGTTAACTGACAGAGCTGGTTGCTTACATTAAAACTTAATCCTTAAACCACCTGAAACTTTGTCTTGGTTTGCCAATAATTTAAGCTACTCATGTGAAACTGTTCATGTGAAACATGATTTTGATCCTGCATCATTTCTTAAAATTTAGCCCATCTGCACCGGATTTTTTTTTTTTCATCCGACTGCCTGAGGCCTTACCAATGTCCATGTAAATTTCTTTATTAATACTGTTGAATAAGAAACAAACTATTTGGTCATGGTACTCACTATCCAAGGTTTAGGTCTGCTTAGATTCTGTGTTATTCTATTTTTACAAATGTTTGTTTGTATTTACTAAGAGAATAATAAAGAGACCGAAGTGTACATGATCATTTTATGGGTTATGCATTCTTGTGTGATGTTATGACTTCTAATATTCCAGTTAATCAAAAGTGGTTAGCTTAGGGTATTTGGTGAAAATTATATTCTCATGTTTTTATCCATTCTTTTTTTATGAATCAGATATAGTCGGTTCTCCAAGTAGTTGTGCCTTTCTCTCTTTTTTCTTCATTAATCATTTTTCCTTTCCGGTGAATGGGACCTCATTTGATCACCATTTATTAATGCATCACTTTCTGTTTGAGTGCATTTTCTTGACCTGATGGATTACGGAACTTATCTTTCAGGTTATGTGAAGGAGGAGAGCTATTAGATAGAATACTTTCAAGGTGCCTTTCTCCCTGTTTAGTATGCAACTTCACTATAAATCGAATTTTTTTTATGACTTGACTTGCATTTTTTTTTCCAGGGGTGGAAAATATTCCGAAGATGATGCAAAGGCAGTAATGGTACAAATACTAAGTGTTGTTGCTTTTTGCCATCTTCAGGGTGTGGTTCACAGGGATCTCAAACCTGAGGTAGTGTATACTGTGTCATCTTCAATTTCTTATGCTTTTCATTATCTGGCTCTGCTTCCACTGAAGTACTTTTATGGACATTTAATCATTCATAGCAGCGGAGAATCCTGTTATAACTCATTTGTTATAGTTTTTTTCAGTTGAAATAAAATCAGGGCGAAAGTCTTTCATCTTCTTAGATAGAAATAAAAAATCGACTTTCATCATTGCTATTTCACCGTTAATATGATTCTCCATTTCCAGTTGATCTGTGATTTCAGATTTGCATCGGTCAGAATTAGGCTAGTGATAAAATCGTCCAGCATCTACGTTTTCAATGCACCAGTGACAAGTATCTATACAACTGGGCTAACATTTGTATAGAGATAGTGATTATGACTGTAATCTTATATTTTTTATTTTCTGTAAAACATTGACGAAATGTTTATTGTTGTTACTACATATTTCTGTACATCAGAGGAGTTTTCTAATTGCTCATTGAACATCGTGTTCAAGTGATCTCCCAGTTAGTGTCTCTTAGTGACAGTTGTGAACGTGAAGTTTTCAGCTTCATATCCTGATCTGCAATGGTGACATTTGGAAAGGGAAAGACGTAAAACTGAAACGGTATTAAAAGTAGAAAGTACAAGGTAGAAAGAACTTACATTTGTTTTTCAGTAGCAGTTGTGTGGGTCTGCATTTCTCCCCTCGTAGTGTGTCATCAATTCCCTTCTATTTCATCTTATTTATTTTCACTTTCCTCTAATATACTTTAAGTACACATACCTCCTCACTTTCCTCCTCAAATTTGTCAGAGTTTAAACATTATCAAGATCTATATAGTCAGTTAATCGATGTTTGGAACTGAGTTTGATCTAATGAATAATGAATGATTAGAAGGAAAACAATGTACAAACTTTGTAATTTGTTCAAGATGGTACCGAAGATCTTATGATTCGTGGAACGGGAGTCAATGTACAGACTTTGTTTACTTCCATCAAGGTTGGAGCATTGATTGATGTTCCAAAATTTCCACCCACTATCGCATTCACTTATTCTTCTGTAAAATGCCAGTGATTTTACTTCATAAACGTAAAGTATTCTTCTCACTATCAGTTAGTAAGTTTTCTTGTCCGAATTAGCGAAAAACCATGAGAAATTTGTATTGGCGCTTGAAGTTGAATAGTCTTTCCAGGATATTTATTTCCCACTGTTAGTGTATTTCTTCCATTTTACTTCATTTTCTTCCCATTTACTAATTCATATGTTCTTAACTTCAACATAAACATTATTTTTTAAATTCACTATCTAAGTTTTTTTTTTTTTTGTTCATCAGAATTTCCTTTTTACAACCAAAGATGAAAACTCTGTGTTGAAGGCTATTGATTTTGGCTTATCAGATTTTGTGAAGCCAGGTTTGTTTAAGAACTTCACCAGTTTCTATATCAGCTAGTTTTCATGTGTGTGATAGATATATTCATGGGAGAATGACACGACGGCCTCTGATCTGCCGTCATTATAATGCAGATGAAAGGCTGAATGACATTGTTGGTAGTGCATACTATGTAGCCCCAGAGGTTCTGCACAGGTCGTACACAACAGAAGCTGACGTATGGAGCGTTGGAGTCATTGCTTACATTCTCTTGTGTGGGAGTCGGCCCTTTTGGGCCCGCACCGAGTCAGGCATCTTTAGGGCTGTGTTGAAGGCCGATCCGAGTTTCGACGAGCCACCTTGGCCGTCTCTCTCTTTCGAGGCAAAGGATTTTGTCAAGCGCTTGTTGAGTAAAGATCCTCGCAGAAGGATGTCTGCGGCTCAGGCTCTCAGTGAGTGTTGTCCTCTTCTTGGTCTTCACGTTTGACTTTTTTCTTCTTTCTTTTCTTCCCCTATTTGGTGACAAGACCACCGGTTTTATTTCCTCCTTGTTGCAAGGCCATCCTTGGATTAGAAACTATAACGATACAAAAGTGCCACTGGATGTTCTTCTTTTCAAACTCATGAAAGCATATATGAGATCTTCACCCTTGCGCAAGGCTGCTCTGAGGGTATTACGAATCTTTTTTTTTTTTTTTTTTTTTTTTTTTGGAATCTTCTTTCAATCTTTGACCGATGATGCAGATTATAAAATGCACATAAACGCATGAATCGTGAGCATTTTCTCTTTTTTTTTTGTGGGGGTTGACTTTGTTGACTCTCTACAGGCCATGTCGAAGACGTTGACTGTGAATGAGTTATTTTATATGGAAGAGCAGTACGCGCTCCTGGAGCCAAGTAAAAGCGGGTTCATCTCTCTCGAGAACATAAAGCTGGTTCGTACCCTCCCGTCAGAATCCACGGAAGGGCAACATCGAATTTCTGTGATCTTAACCGTCTTCTTTCCTCATCTAGGTGTTGACCAAGAACGCGACGGACGCGATGAAGGAATCACGCGTGAACGATCTTCTCGTCTCGGTACCCACCCGGCGCATATCATTTTCTGCTGATTAATAATTATTTTATGCCATGTTGGGAGAAGAAATATATCTGATTTAATGGGTGGGGGCAACTGGTTCAGCTGAGCGCCCTCCAGTACAGGAAGATGGACTTTGACGAGTTCTGTGCGGCGACGCTGAGCATTCATCAGCTGGAAGGTCTGGATCGATGGGAGCAGCATGCCCGATGCGCCTACGAGCTCTTCGAGAAGGATGGCAATAGAGCTATCGTCATCGAAGAACTTGCCTCGGTACAACTCGATCGCGCTCTCTCATTCATTTTATTTATTTATTTATTTATTTATTTGCCCGTTTTTCAAGGTTTTGCGAGAACAATAAGGTCTAGTCTGCTGGGTATGCTCATAATAAATTGAGTTTTGGGCTTTTTATTATGGCATGGAAATTTTCTTTGGGCGTAAATATTATTTTCAGTGAGCAGAAATATTCTTAAAAATACATTATCAATTAGCCCCTATTAGTTTTTATATTTTATTTATTTCGATGATTTTTGCGCTGATGTGGAAAAAATGGTGGATGACACAGGAACTGGGGTTGAGCCCGTCGGTGCCCGTCCACGCCGTCCTGCACGACTGGATCCGGCACACCGACGGTAAGCTTAGCTTCCTGGGCTTCGTCAAGCTCGTCCACGGCGTCTCTAGCCGCTCCCTCGCCAAGCTCCATTAATTAGAAAAAGGCTCAGTCTCCCCTGTCGTGGGGCCCACCACCTCTCATTTTGCCGGCCACCTCGGACGCCACATCGGAGGGAGGAGGGCCTCGCCTGCTGCCCGCCACCTGGATCCAAGCCACTGGGCGGTATTAAACACGTAGTCTCCCTCCCTCTCTCTCTCTCTCTCTCTCTCTCTCTACTGTAACCCGGCCTCTGTATCTCTCTCTATCTCTGAATGCCCTCCTGGCTGTTCTAGTCAGATTCAGAAGAAGAAACTGCGTTGTAAAATTGTCAAGTGAAATAGGGCTGACAGGAGGAAGATGGGGATGGGGTGGTCTTATCATCCTTCGCCGTCTCCTCATTTTACTCGCTCTTTTCGGTTCTCGGTTACCCCCTCCCCCTTTCACGACCAAGTGAAGAGTTAGAGAGAGAGAAAGGTATGGATGTACATACGAACTTAGTGAGATGGAAGGTGGGGCTTTCCGTTGAGTGATTGAACATCTCTCTCTCTTTCTATCTCTCCCTCACTCTCTCTCTGTCCCTCTCTCTCTTTCTCTCTCTCTCTCTATCTATCTTTCTCTCTTTCCCTCTCTCTGTCTATCCCTTCTCTCTCTTTCTCTCTTTATCTCTCTGTCTATCCCTTATCTCTCTTTGTCTTTCCCTTCTCTCTTTCTGCCTTTCCCTCTCTCTCTCTCTATCTCTCTCTTTCCCTCTCTTCCTCTCTTCCTCTCTGTCTGTCTCTTCTGTCTCTCCTTCTCTCTATCTCTCCCCCTCTCTCTCTCTTTCTCTCTCTCTCTCTCTCTCCCTCTCTCACACTCTCTCTATCTCTCCCCCTCTCTCTCTCTCTTTCTCTCTCTCTCTCTCCCTCTCACACTCTCTCACACTCTCTCTATCTCTCCCCTTCTTTCTTTCTCTCTCTCTCTCTCTCTCTCTCTCCCTCTCTCCCTCTCTCCGTCTCTCCCTCTCTTCCTCTCTCTCTCTCTCCCTCTCCCTCTCTCCCTCTCTCGCTCTCTCCTTCTCTCCCTCTCTCTCTCTCCCTCTCTACCTCTCTCCCTCTCTTCCTCTCTTCCTCTCTTCCTCTCTCTCTCTCTCTCGCTCTCTCCCTCTCTCCCTTTCTCCCTTTCTCCCTCTCTCGCTCTCTCCCTCTCTCCTTTCTCCCTCTCTCCCTCTCTTCCTCTCTCGCTCTCTCCCTCTCTCCCTTTCTCCCTCTCTCTCCTCTCTCGCTCTCTCCCTCTCTCCCTTTCTCCCTCTCTTCCTCTCTCGCTCTCTCCCTCTCTCCCTCTCTCCCTCTCTCTCTCTCTCCCTCTCTCCCTCTCTCCCTCTCTCCCTCTCTCCCTCTCTCCCTCTCTCTCTCTCTCTCTCTCTCTCTCTCTCTCTCCCCCCATTGTTCATCATGGAGTAATGGAATTGGAGTGGCTGAGCCCAATGTACTCTCTAGGCCCAAGACCGGGGCAGGTCGGGGAGTGATTTTGGGCCGTATATAGGCCCATTAAGAGCTCTACTAATAATATCTTGGCCATTCTTCTTGATAAATCCACGCTAGAGCCCATTAAGGATTATTGGGCCCGTGAAAATCTCTGGTTTATGGGTGATTCTTCCTCTTCCTGCTTCCGCTGCGGGGTTAAACCAGGAAAGATGCTCTCATCGCCGCCACACCACGCCTTCCTCTGTTCTGTCCCCTCGCCGGCCGCCACCCACCGCCGGCGAGCCGCCGTCGATCGCCTGGGACTCGCCGGAAGGAACAGAGGAGGAGGAGGAAATGTTGAGTTTGACGCGGATGAGGAGCAGCTCTCCCCGCCCCGCGTCGCCGGCGCCGGCTCCACCGCCGGCGTTATCTCCAGCCCCTCCAACCCCTTCGTCAAGCACTGCGTCAAGCTCCGTCAGAGCTCCTCCTACCGCCGCTCCTGCGGGATGGCCGTCGTCGTCGGCCTCACGCCGATCAGGTGCTCGTCGGATTCCCCACGTCGACTGGTTGGCTCCGTGGCTTCTTTGCCTCATCCATTGGCATCCACTGTAGGGAGATCGCGTGGAGAGAAACTGATCGCCGAGGCGGATCGGAGGAGGGGCCGTTGATTAATTCCTTGCTCTTGTTGGACGTGCCAGAGGCATCGTCGTCAGCCTCACCGGTCCTCCTCGGCGAGCTCGGCATCAATGGCGGCAGCGGTGATTCTTCTTCTGCAGGGGCCCGGGTTGTGCGAGTGAGCTCCATGGTGATGAAGAAGCTCACGGGGCTTCAGTCAACGGATTCCACCGAGGCGGTCGCCGTAATGAAGATCCCCTCCAGCTTTCACGATGTGGGAGGCAGGCCGAGGGAGGCAGCGGGTTGCAGTAGCTGGTTCTCTTCTCCGCCTCGCCGCCTTCTGGTCCTCGATGGAATTCAGGTCCTCCCCCGGGTTCTCTTTTCACAAGAATTTTGAAAATTTTCTGAAATAAAATTCTCAACTCCAGTAAATTTACGGGGATTTTTCTTCCTGTTTCTTTGCTATGATTTATTTATATACGAGTATTCTTTTTCTATGATTCATTTAAGAGATGCATCCGGTTAAAAATTCTATGGTAATATATGGAAACCTGCTCATGGAAATTCACAAACATTTCCTCTGATCTTCTTCCGATTTCTAGAAATTTGGGACATGAATTCTGGATGGAAAATAAAATAAAAAAACGTTTTATTTCCTATACATTGTTATGGTAGTTTATGAAACCTTTCACATCGGTTCATCTATTATCTGTCTTCATCAATCTGAGAGTATTATTCTTTCTTGAAAAATATTTGATGGTTTTGCATCATTTCCCGTATGCTCTCATCATTTGTTCGTTTTCAATGCAGGATCCAGGAAATATTGGGACATTGCTGAGGTCAGCTATGGCTTTCAGATGGGTAGGTTTGCCCAAGAGTTTGGTCTTTACTTCGCCTTCTAGCTGTAATTCTTCCGCATAGGTTAATTTCCCAGAAGAGAAGGGCATCTTTAGGCATCATTTTTCATAATGTTGATTTAACTTACTCCAAACACACCGTTAGAATGGCAGAGACAACAACATAAATCTCTCTTTGAGAAAAAAAAATCAAAATTTTCAGAATAAAAGGGAAGCTTCTCTGTTTACCACGCAGAAACCATGCTTTGAATTTTTTTTGTTTTAACCAGGGAAAACAATTATGCTGGGATATTTCTTCCTCGTCCATCTTCATGCGTTTCTTTGGGATGCAGAAACAGACATCTTAATGTCATTCTAGTGGCGTGATTATGAATCCTGGTGTCGAATAGTTTTCGTGAATAAAATTTTCATATTAACAAAATGGAAACAATTTCCATTTAATTCCAGTTGTCCTGATGTTTTTTCTTCTCCTTGAAATTTCCTTCCAGGAATTGACACAAGTGGTCACAGTAGTCACTCGAAATCTAAGAATATCGAATCTGAATCACTAGTAGGACTCGCTTTGTTCATTACAATAGCCAATATCATTGCCTTTTAGGAGCATTTTGACAAAGGGTTTATTATAGGATTCGCCTCATAGACAAAGGGTTTGGGCTGGGCTTCTGGCTAGCCTGGACCATCGACGAACTCTGATTCTCCTTTTTTCTATCTTCTTGTGGGAACACTGGTCGATTTCTCTGCCAACAGGATGGTGTCTTTCTTCTTCCCGGATGTTGTGATCCCTTCAATGAGAAGGCTCTCCGAGCAGCTCGGGGGGCCTCCTTCCAGCTGCCCATCATATCTGGGGACTGGGTTCATCTGGAGGTTCTGAAGACTGAATTCCGAATGAAGATGCTTGCCGCCCATCCAGAAGATATTAATGCAAACTACAGAGGAAAAGTTTCTCATACCCTGTCTCAGGAACTGGCAGACTCTTTGGCAGAGGATCCTCTCTGCTTGGTGTTGGGCAGCGAAGGGCAAGGCCTCTCCCAGGAGGCCATGCATGGGTCTGATCTCGTCAACATTCCAATGGCGGGTAACTTTGAATCCCTCAATGTTTCTGTTGCTGGTGGGATTTTTATGTTCACTCTCCAAACTCAATATTGGGGAAATCTTTGATCTTTTGCCCCATAAAGGATAACTTCCTCTTAAATTTATTGTCGTTCTAGGAGCTGTTTTGTCCTTGTTCGTGCATCCAAATCTTCTCAATTCTGATCAAATTTTGCAGTCCATGATGTTGTTTAAATGCAACACTCTTGATACTGACATATTCTTTGCAGTTTTACCTCTGATAATCCTGCTTGTCAATATTTCTTATATTGAGTCTGCAATCCCACCAGCAATCTGTACACATTCACATATTATATAAATCTACATCTAAAATACGTATTCCTATATATTCATGTGGTAGCCTTTGGCCAGAATGCTTGAACCCATGAGTGGGCCTTTATGCTGTGGGGCATGCAAGCTGAGAAAAATTTTCTTCTAGTGATCTTACTTTTTACTGGTCTGACTGGATTTATGCTGCTATTTTTAGAACTATGGATGAGATGATCCTTTATAAATAGGATGTTCATTAGGTTTTGTAATGCCCACCCCTGGTATACCCATTTGGCTTTCCATACCCTTCCTTGGCACGTCAAAGTTTTGCTATGTAGGAGCTTATTATGAACATGGCATCTAATGTGGATATTGTGATCATAGAATTCATTATGATGGTGAGCTTCTGTGGAGACTCTACTACTGCCACAAGAGTTAGGACATGAAAGGCATAAGAAAAAAGGACGAATAGATATTCTCCAGCAAAATAAACTAATACAAGGCTCCACTGCTCTCCTTGGCTTCAGCCAAAAATAAAACGTGACTTCTCCTCTCACATTTCCCTCCATATATAGTCTAGGGTTCTATAGAGGTCAGCCCCTTCATGGCTCTCGGCTCCTAATACAGGCCTTGCATCTTTGTCTCTTCTGTGAGTATCTATAGCCCATAGGCCCATTAATAGTTGGGGGTCTGACATTACCCCCCACTACTTGTGGCACCTAGTCCCCAAGGTGTAGATCTGGTAGAGTTGTGCAATTTGGGTTGCCGACTCCTATGTCATCTCGAAGGAGGGAAGGTCATGCCAGCTAATGAGGACTTTCAAGCCATCATCGAGAGTGTCTAACATCATGGACTTTGCCTGGTTGCATCACCCATTGCAAGTCACCACAAGAGGTTGGCAGTTTGTTCTATGACCATAATGTGCACTTGAGCTGTGAGATGTGGAAGACAAGGTGGATTTAGGTTGTGGTTGGGAGTTCCAGACAATAGGTTGTTGATCTGATGTGCTTCACGATTGTGAAAGGTCCAAAGAATTTTGAGGCAAGCCACTCATTCCACCTTTTTGCAAATGTCTTCATATGCTATGGCTGAAGCTTCAAATAGACATGATCACCTGCATTGAACTCAATGTCCTGACAATGATGATCTGCCAATTGTTTTATGCATGTTTGTGCATGGGTTAGGTTGGCTTGATGGTGCCCATCATCTTGTCCCATGTTCTGAGGAGGTCTATCAATATATGTGTTTTCACATGTAGAGAACCAAAGTAGACAATTGGGGCAGGTCTCTACCATGCAAAACATGGAAAGGGGTAATTTGAAAGGAATGATGAATTATGGAATTGTAATGCAGCTTGGCCCACACCAACCACTCACTTCAATGGTGAGGCTTGTTTCCAGACACTTGTTGACACTCAAATTAGCTGTCTATTTGAGGATGGATGTCTGTGTTCCATTTCAAGTTAGTCCTTTGTAGTTGTATGATCTCTTGGATGAAGACTTCAACAATATTATTCACAGAATATGGGTGATGATGCATCACAAAACGTCCATACTTATCAATATGTTTACTACTATTAAAAGAGAATTCTTATCTTGGGAGGGTGACAAGCCCTTGATGAAATCCATGGTAAGGTAATCTCACACTTGCTTTGGAATGGGGAGTGATTAATGCAGACCAACAAGTGAGATACATTCATTTTTGTATCTTTGGCACAATGGACATTGCCACAAACTCATGAATAACTTCTTTCATCCCTGTTAATAAAAGTTTTAGGATATTTGTTCATATGTTCATAGGTAACCTAAGTGATTGCCAATGATGCTATTGTGGTAATCATTCAAGAGTGTGGGTTGAGAGATGAGGTAACAAACAATACCACTTGACCCTTTTGGAGGAGGCCATTGGATAAGGAGTAGTGGGCCACTATGATCCCATCTTGTAGAAGAACACTTCAAATTTTGTTGTGTTGGATCAGAGTTCACCTCTTAGTAGACATTCTACAAATCTAAGGGAGGTAGATTAGTCAACATCACTTAAAGCTCGTTGGCTGTCAACTGGTGAGATGACATATGCTACAATATTTTTTGATTCAACCTTTTACCAAATCTCAAAGTCATAGTAGATGAGCTTCAAGACCCACTTTTGATATTGTGGGGGGGTTTGTTGGAGTTATACTGAAACATGACTATAATGGTCTATAATGGTCAGTAAAAATAAGAAATATCTATCCAATTAAGTAAGATCACTACTTTTATACCATAAGGATAATTTCCATCAGCTCCCACTCATATATTGGCATGACTTGATTTCATGTTAAGAGGGCTTAACTATTGTAAGATATTAGTCACTATTTTTACATTAAGACCTCAAGTGTCTGCCTCTATCTTGAAAACTTCTACAAAGTTGGGTAGAGTGAACACTCATGATGAACACATCATTATTTTCATCACTCAAAATATTTACTCTTCAACCTTTGCTCATTTGAAGTTGTTTTTCTTCAATAGGGTAGTTAATGGCCCATGATACTTGAGTAGCCTACTATGAAGCTAAGTACTCTCATTTTTTCTCATCACACTCCCACCATGTCTAACAACTATGGGGGGTGGGCATGTGTTAAAGTTATTTTTGTGTTTTAATTAGTTATATTATTTTATTTTATTAACTTTTAGAATAAATATAATAATATATTATTAATTTTAGAAGTTTGACGTTAAAATACTTAGCATAATTTTGATTATTTAGAAAAATAAAGTATAAAATATGAAAATATTGCCATCCATTGGCAAGCTGACACTCGACAATTGATCTAGAGGGGTGTTGTAGTTTAGTGGGTAGACTTAGATTAAGGGACCACGACCTGGGCTCGAGTGGTAGAGGACTCATTTCGCACATGTGTGCGTCACTCTCTTGCCACATCTCAGTGGCCAACTAGTTGTGAAGTAATGAGCATTGTACACACATGTGTGCACAAGAGTAGATCACTTTTTACCTTCTCCTAAGGTGGTCTTGAGTATTATTTTATTTTAAGAGAAAAGATCTCTACTGAGAGAATGTAACTTTGATTTATATTTAGCTCAATTGTTGAAATATTCTAATGATTTATATTTAGCTCAATTGCCGTTTGGAGCATGGTGTCATTTAGTAGTGTTTAGTGAGTCACGTCATCCAATAAGTTAGATCCTACGATGGGTAAGTCGTCATGATACCAAATACGTAAAGTAATCCATCAACAATTTATGAATCCGACATAGCTCAGCACACACATAGCCATAAATGATGATCTAATGGCTAAGGAGGTGCCACGATACTAGGGATTTAAGTTCTCAGTCAATAGTGGTTTATGGGGGGTTGATCATGTGTTGTTTAATGCACCACGTGACCAAGCACATTTGATCCAGTGGCTTGTGAAGTGCCACGATATTGAGAACTTAAGTTTTCACACATAGCATCGTCAAGGATATAAATATAATAATTGATTATTATCTAATAAAATAGACATTATCAATTATCCTTAAAATCTCGATGGTAGTTGCGAGTATGACAATCCGTTCTTTCCTCCTTTCACACGATCAATGCCTCCAATGATCGACAAGCTCATTCCTTCCTCCCCTGATTTCACTTAAGGCCTTCAACTAGTAGTTAACTCTTACATTCTCCCCCTAAATGACGGTGATAGTGTGGTCGACCCTTACTTTTGATAGATCTCTCCAACAAGCAACACAATACTTCTAGATGATATTATGTGACTTTCGATGTGGTGTCACATGTCCGAACAAAACTTAGCTGCCACATTGGTGTCTCTAGTTGTCCAAGAGGTAAACTAAACTTAGACAATAATTTATTTCTTACTTTCAGTATTTATTTATGTATTTTATTTATTTATTTATATTTTATGACAAGTTATTTTTATTTCATACATATTTCAATTAAAATGAGTAAAACTAATTCAAAACTTGATGAATGATCTTTATTCTTCTTTTAAATCCTCCAAAACTCATTTGAGATCAAGTTAAGATTATTTTTAACTTATTTTTTTATTAGTTTTTATAGTCAAAATTTGATGTATTTATGTTCTCGGTGTTTTGCAAATAACATGTTTTTTTTTTTTGAATGTGAAATCAACAAGATTAAAGACTACTTAATGATCATTGAATTATTTAAACAATGTGCAGACATTTATTTCTAACCTCATGTCATGTGTGTAAATTCTCAAACGCACATTCGTCTAAGAGTAATGGTCATCATGAAAATAGGTTGACCATATTTCTCTCTTTTTTTATTATCATCTTATTTCTCTCTCCCTTACTCGTGAGACCTTTTCTTCTCTCTCCGTCTCTCATGAGATCTCTCTCTCTTGATTGATCAATTGATCTCCCTCTCTTTCTCTCCATTGATTGATCTCCTTCTCTCTCCTTTTCTCTCTCTCTCTCATAAGACCTTTCTCTCTCTATCTCACATGAGATTTCTCTCTCTCTCTTTCATGAGAGCTATTTCTTCTCTCTTTTTCTTCTTTATCTTTCTCACCTCATCATTCTATTTTATTATTTTTATTTTAAAAAATATAATATTTAAATCACTTTATATATGAATTAAATTAGTTTTCACGATAGTCAATCTCTATATGTACGACTTGAGACTTACTTCTATACTAATATTTTATTAAGTCCTAGTTATAAATATTATTAAACAATAGGCATTTAAATACAACAACAAGTGCAGATCAACATGCATGATTAGATGGAGAAGGTGATACAAAGGAGATATTGAGGGTGACATCTCAATCGTCACGCATAATT